AGAGAGGAGGGAAGCCCCAGGACTCTGGTCCCGATGATTCTGGACACAGGGGGATCCCAGTCCCCACCCTATCTTATACTATACCCCTTGTGGTACAGTTCAAGGGCACTGAATTTAGAGTCAGGAGACCTGAGTTCAAATCTTGCCTCGGGCATTTACCAACTATGTGACCTTGTGCAAGTCACTGTAGAATGAGGGCTCCATGTCTGAGATCCTTCAGGATCTTGCCTTTGAATCTGTGATGGGAGCTGGAGGTGGGGGGGTGGGTGGGGGGACGGGCCACAGACATTGCCCTTACCTGGTTCTCCCCCCCAAGCAAAGCAGCCAGACTGCCCCCCCTTCTTATAGAGGGGAGGAAGTGAAAAAAGACCTTGGAAAGTTACAAAGGGAACCAAGACTTCAGCAGGTTCCCCTCTCTCTGCCCCTGAGGCTCTCTTGGGGCCTCCTGGGACACCCAGCCTCTGCTTCACCTCCCTACAGGAAAGTCCAGCAGCAGACATGGGGAGGAGTATTTCTTGGCTTGCTCTGAAGGCCAGGACATCCTTCCTAGCATCTAACCTGGAATCTCTGCTGCCGGGAGAGAGCTCTCTGACCTCTCCTGGAGGACACAGAGACCATTTGGGGAAGGGGGGGTGGTTGAGAAAGAGAAAAGGGAAATGTGTATAGCAATGAAAACAAAGAACAGAAAATGAAACAGGAGAGAAGTCAAGCCCAGAGGGTTCCCAGTCTTGTGAGTTGGCCCCTTGGTTAAAGGTAACCCTAACCATCTCCCCTTCCTTGGGTGAGCTTGGGGCTGGAGGGGCACCCTGCACCTTCCTCACAGGCAGTCTCCCTATCCGCAGCCCAACAAAGCCCTGGAGAACAGCCTGATGGGATGAGGAAAACTCTAATAATTCAGAGCCTTGGATAATTCAAATCCCCTGAAAGTACAAAAGACTCATTTTCTTTGGCTTTTTCCCCAGTTTACTGGATGATACAAAGGACTCTTTCAGTCTTTTCCTCCCTGTGTTAGGCACACGGTGAGGGTCTGCCTCCTACAAAGCTAAGGCATAGTCCGGCATAGAAGAAATGTAGCACCTGTTGGCAGAAGGAGCCTGGATCTGTCCAGGTCCTGAAGCAGTGACCGCTCCATGTGATAAAGAACCCTTGGAGGGACAGGAGTCAAGGATCTATCCATTCTAAAAGACAGCATGTCTGTTTTCACCCTGGTTCCCAAAGCACCTGTTCCAGTGCCTGGGAATGAACACTACACACTTAATAACTACTTATTAGATAGAATACGCTAGAATCCTGAAGCAAACTTCTGGGGCATGGAATTTGGGGACGTAGTGGTCTATAAAAGAGGATCCTAGAGCACAGAGCAAAGGGCGGGGGATTCCCAAACCTGGATTCTCAGTCCTGGTCTCAATTAAGTCCCAAGCAAGAAACAAACTAAAACTTTAACCTGTTCTGGGGCAGGGGGAACTCTTTAAAAAGCTGGATGGAAGAGAAAACTATTGGTTGACAAGAAGTAGAATTGAGAATGTCACTGATTGATTTCACTATGTTCTGATAAGCATTTAATGACTCAGTTTTGCTTGAAAAAGGTTATTAGCAAATAAAGTTTCTTCATGAAAAATTCATCCATTTCATTCTTTTGCATATATGCATGGGGAACTCCAGAATTAATTTCCTTTCCATTGAATAGAGAGTACAGGGAAGGTACACTGAAAACCAAGGGTTATAAAGACTGAAAAAAAGTTTGGGAACCTGTCTTCTAGGTTGCTGTGCTGCAGATCAGGAACCAGCAAATTGCTGACTGAGGTCAAATGAAGCCAGCCACAGGTGGCAGCTGGATTGCTCTAAATTCCTGTGTTCTAGAGGACCATGTGCTAGAACTCTACGCTCAAAAAGTCTAGGTTCTAGTCTTCATCAGGCTAGAAGTCTATGCTCTAGACCGCTGTGCTCTGAGAATGAATAAAATGCTAGGATCCCATGTTCTAGAATTCTATCTGGAGGGAAATCTCATTAGAAAATGATGAGTTTCCTGGGGGCAAGAAAGGCATGATGAAGATGGGCAGGAGGTTTTATTCCATCATCTGTTTCCTTCATATTTTTCAGAGGCAACTAGAGCCCCCAACTCCCTCACTCTACCCCCTACTGGTCTCCAAGCCACACTTTTTGTCACTAACACAATTGCCTGGTAAAAATCTCCATAAGATAATATAGTTATATACCAAATATTCCATGTACTTCTGAGGATATTCCCACCCTGGGTTGCGAATCTTTATTTTAGAATAATGGTTTCTAGAACATCTGTTCATAGAATTCTAGAACATAGGAGGTTAGATCATTACCAGGGAACATAGAATCCTAGAATATGGAATTATCATAGAACCCTAGAGTTTAGAGGCTTGGGGGGAGGGGTAGGGGTGGCAGTAAGATGAATGAGAAACCAGCTGGGGGTGGTGGGTCAAAGAGAGAGCTGTGGCCAGAAGTCCCCTCTAGCCTGGGCTGGGGTGGCACCTAGGGCCCCCAAGGACTGAGTTGTCGATGGGGCCAAGTACCACAAAGGGGCCCCCCATAGAGGCTAGCCTTTAAAAAAATGAAAAATCTTGCTTCTGATTTGCATATCCCTAAACAGGCTTCTAGGGAACAGATCACTCACTTATAGCCAGTGCTTTTGCCCAAAAAAAGTTCCAGAAATGTCATCAACACCATCCCCCAAATGCCAGCTCCTCATTTCTATTTAAGAACCCATCAAATGGGTTCAAATCTCAGCTTGGGCACATAATGCCTGTCTGACTTTGGACAAGTCACTTCCCTCTCTATAAAACGAGGGGGTTGGGCTGGATGGTGGCCTCTGGGGTCCCTGCCAGCCCTAAAACTATGATCCTATAACCCTTCATCAAATGCCTTCTCTGTGCCAGGGGCTAGGACAGCAAACATGAATAAAAGAAGCTCAGAATGTCAGGCTGCAAAGAAGCCTTAGAGATCACAGAGTCCACTTGACAGATGGAGAAATTGAGGCCAAGAGAATGGTTTGCCAAGCATTATTCCATTAGCAAAGATAGGATTCGAATCCTGGTCTTCTAACTTGAAATCCCATGTTCTGCCCACTGTGCCTTGTAATAGTAATAACAATTAATCAATAATAATAACAATAATACAATAGACATTCCCTTTTCTATGGCTGATATTAAAGTTTACAAAGCATTTTCTTCACAAATGTCCTATGATAAAGTATGTACATACTATACTTACATATGTAAGGACTTCTAGTCTGTACCCATGCTCTAAGGCTCCCCCCAGCTCTGATATTCCATGTTTTCAGATCCCTTCCCACTCCCAGTGCATTATATAGGATTCTGAGCAGATTTAAGTAATAATTTAATAATAATAATAATAATAAAAAAATGGTTAACATGTATGTGGTGCATATAGATTTACAAAAACCTTTATATATTTTATCTCATTTTATTCTCATAACATTCCCATGTGGGCAGGTGTCATAACCCCATTTTACAAAGAAACTGAGACTCAGAGGAGTTAAGGGGCTTACCTAGAAGCACACAGAGAGTAAATATCTGAGGAAAGATTTGAACTCAGTCTTCCTCACTCCAAGTACAGTTCTCCATTGTGGCATCTACCTGCTTCAGAAGTTACAGAGAGCAGCTTGACTAACCTAATCTCTCCATTCCCCCAAGTATCTCTCAAACTGCTGCCAGGTGGTCTGAGTATTTTAATCACAGTATAACTGTAAAGGGAGGTAGGTGGTACCACAGTGAATACAGCTCTGGTCCCAGAGTCAGGAAGTCCTGAATTCAAATCCAGCCTCAGACACTTACGAGCTTACTTAACCTCTATCTGCCTTAGTTTCCTCATCTGAAAAATGGGGATGATAATAACACCTACCTCCCAGGGTTGTTATGTGGATCAAATGAGATAATATTTGTAAAGTGCTTTGCATGCCTGAAAGCATTCTATAATTGCTGGCTATTATTAAAGGGCTTACTATCAGGCATGGATAGTAATACTATCAGGGATACTATCAGGCAGAGGAGAGAAAAGAGAAGGTCCTGGCCTTGGGTTGAGAGCCTCTTTCCTATGCCCTTGGAGGGAGGATGCTGTGGCTTACCACCGAGTCATTCTGAGTTGCCGGCCCACCCTGTATCTCCCCCTCTAGATATCAGGTCTGTGATACTGAGCGACCACAGGGTGCACAGTGGTGCCTCAGCTAGGTGAGTCCACTGGCCTGCCTCATGCCAGGCATAGGAGAGGGAGGGAGAGAGAACCCAGAACACAATCTGGCCAATTGCATTTTTCAGTAAAAATGAACTCTTTATTAAAGTCTCAAACTATGACAGTGAACTGGTCACAAATAACTCTCGTTGCATGTATTTAAAAATAACCACATTTCACACTGTGAACCCTTTAAACACTTCAAGATTGGCACATTTCCCTCCTCAACATTCCTGTTTGGTGGGTAAGGATACGATTTCACAGAATCACAGAAACCAGAGCTGGCTATGGCCACCGCCGTCTCCTAGACCTGCCTGTGGGTTGATCTGAAGGAATTCATCTGGCATCTACCTGAAGAGACCGTGCTGGGTACAGTACAAAATTGGGAGGAATACAAACAGCTAGGTACCAGCTAAGCACTTTTAATCCTGATGGATTTCAGCTTAATCCAGCTCATTTTCCTTGTTTTGTTTAAAGGAGAAACCCATCTCTTTCTCAGTTACAGGAGTGCAGAAGCCTCTACTGTCATCCCACCTCGCCCCATCCCAGGGCTTCAGGACGTCTTTGCTGCCGAAAGCTCTTACCTGTTTATTTGTGACTTATTAGGGAAAAGCTATTGATTAGCTTCCTGGAGAATCTTAGCAAGTTATTGGTTTGCCTCTTCTAGCTATCATATGTATGTATATATATATGTATGTATGTATGTATGCAAGTAGAGAAGAGAGAGAGACGTAGACAGAAAGCGAGACAGAGAGACAGAGACAGAGAGAGACGGGTGAAGAGACAGAGACAGAGAGACAGCGAGACAGAGAGGCAGAGAGACAGAGACAGAGAGAGGAGAGAGAGAGAGACTCCCCCCTAATTGGAGACTCTTTGCATAACAGTGCTTCTGAGAGGAGGATTCTGGGGGATCTGTGTCATACTACAGAGCCATGAATTCCTGGCTTCCAAGCAAGTTAAGGGGTTTTGTTGGGGACCTGCCCCACTGTCCCTGCCTAACTCCCTGCACTTAGAAGCCAACCTCAAATAGCTTATTACCTTGTCGCAAGCTTCTCACTGGCTCAGCTACTTTGTAAAAGCAGGCTGACATTTTTTTTTCTCTCTCCAAGAACATTTGGAACCATGGGTGAACCCACCTGAACTTCCTGAAACAGACCTCAGCTGTTGCTTCCTTGCAATTCCAAGGTGACCACGACTGCTTCCCAGACTTGTCTTTGGCTGGGGGCTGACTGGGGCCATCTTGCCTTAGGAAATGAATGAAGTGGAGACTTTCTAGCATTGCAGGATTTTGAGCTGAAAATGGGCCTTGGGGACCACTAAGGTCACAATGAAGGCAGCTGAGTCACAGAGAGAGAAGGGAACTTTCCAAAGGTCATGTGGTGAGTTCGAGGCACTCATGGGACTCAAATTCCCTGTTATGTAACAAGTATAGAACAGACTAGGAGTAAAGATCATAATCCCAGAGTTCATTTTACAGAGGAGGAAACTGAGGCAATGAGAGATCACCCAGGTCACCAGTGGCAGAGCCAGGATTCAGACTCGGAAACTGGGTCCCTTTCCATTGTGCCCCACTGCTCCCCAGGACAAAGGGCCAAGGTGAGCAGCAGAGATGGAACATGAAGGGAAATCAGGAAAGTGAGGTGAAAGGTCACAGTCAAAGGGCCCCAAGTGGGGGTGCCCCGACCATTGTCCTTGGGGCCCCTTCCTTTGGTGTAGAGGAAGCCTGTGGAGCCCCCAGACCTCCCTTGAAAGCATTTTTGTGGCAAGGCTGGGTAAGTGCCAGGGCTTAGGGCAGGGTTGTCAAGGAGAAGGGCTTGGAAGACAGCCCAGGAAGGGTCGTCCACTTGGAGCTGGAAGGAACTTTACAAGGATCTAGGCACACACACCTGCTTCATTTTACCTAGGAGGAAGCTACAGAGGAGGAGAGAAGGGACCAAAGTTCTACAACTATTGAGTAGCAAGATTTCAATCCAGTGCTTGCAGGGCCCATTACACTGTGCCATCTCTGTGGGACATCACACAGATGCTATCTCTGTAAGTAGACCCGGGAGGCAGGAGGCCCACAGGCCCCCGGGGAAGGGGGTTCTTAGTCCCTTGGAAGGAAAGGAAGGCAGGGTTCTCAAGCCCGGGTGGAGCAGCTGGAGCAGCTGGAGCCAGCCCTTTCCTACCCGGCTTCTTCCACTACAGCTCCGCGGTGATGGTCTTGGTGGTGACAAGCTCCATAGCCCCCAGCTCCGTGGCGGGCACAGGGAAGCTGTGGCTGGGCGCTGAGCTGGGCTCAAGAGCACCATCGCACTCTTGAAAGGGATGCTGGTCCTGGGCTTCACCCAAGCTGCTGTTCTGGGTCTGCATGGCTTTAGGTTCTTGGTGGAGGGGGAGATCGAGCCCTGGGAGGAGGGGCAAGAGCTGATGAAAGGTGGGGAGGTAGTGGGGGAGGGTCAAGCCCTGGTGGGGAGTAAGAGCTGATGAGAGGTGGGGAGGGGGGTGGAGTTGGGGGGGAGAAGAACAAGGGCTGATGAGAGGTGAGGAGGAGGGAGTGGGGAGATCGAGCCCTGGGAGGAAGGGCAAAAGCTGACGAGAGGTGGGGAGGTAGGGGGAGAGGGTCGAGCCCTGGGGTGGGGGGAGTAAGAGCTGATGAGAGGTGGGGAGGTGGGGGGAAGACTAGGGTCTGTAATCTGGCTTCCCTCCTCCTCCCCCATTCTCCCTTCCCTTCCTCCCTTCTCCACCCCAGTCCCTAAGCTTCCCATTCCTACCCCCACAGGGTTTCTGCCCCACTCCCAAGTCCTAGGCATCTCCTCCTTGTCACTGGCTCAGCTGACAGCCAGGAGTGGAGACAGCCGGGAGCCTTGGGAAGAGTGCCAGAACTGGGAAGTCAGAGGACCTGCGTCCAAGTCTCCTCTGGGGCCCCTGGTTTCTTCATCTTTAAAACAGAGACAAGATGGACAAAAAGGCATCTGAGCTTCCTTCTGACCCCAGACCGATGAGCCCCAGGCTTCTGGAGCCCGGCTGTATCCTCAGATATTGGGGAAGTCACAACCTCCGTGAGTTTCCTCCTCTGTAAATTGAGGGGGCTTAGAGGAGACGGTGTCTGAGGCCCCTTCCAGCTCTGGCCCTGTGACTCAAGGCTGATCCCTGAGAGGCCCCTATAGGCAGAGAGAGCCCTGGGAAAGAGGCCGCTCTGGGAACTCCCAGCCAACCAGGCTGACCCATCAATCAGGGCATCTGGAACTGGAGGGAGCCTTAGAAACCATTGATGCCATGCCCCATCTTGCCCAAAGACCCAAGGCTCCCAGAGACTGGGAGACAGAGCTCCAAGGAGTATATTCTATTTTAGGATCCTATGGCCAGAGCTAGAATGAGCCTCAGAGGACATGGAGGCCATCCTATTTTTTCAGGTTAGGAAACTGAGGCCTGGGGAGGTGATGTGATTTTAAGATTTTGCAGCATCAGAAATGAGATTGGAACTCGGGTCCTCTGACTTCAGAACCAGTTCTCTTTCTGCAATATTACCCAGTCTCTCTTGGTCTGTTTCAGTCTAGGACTGTGGCTGACAGAAGGGACCAGCTCAGGAGAGTTGTGTCCTCCTGGAGTGTGGTCTCACTCACCCTGAGCTAGCTCCCTGCTGGGGCCAGCCTCCTCATCAGCAGGGGCCTTCTCCAGCCGTCTCTGCAGCAGGCACACCAGTAGGCCATACAGCATGGCCAGCACCAGCGCCAGCCCTATGGGGATCCCAAGGAGGAAGTACGGGCCTGGAAGCATTCTGAGGATCGAAGTCATTGACGTATTGGACACTTGGGTCATCAGCGTGACTGTCTCTGAGGAGCTGGAAATGTTGTCTGGGGACAGAAAGAGTCAGAGACCCAGAAACTGAGATGGTCGAAGGTGATTTAAGCCAAGAGAGATAGAGGAAGACAGAGACTGAGAGCTAAAGAGATAGACAGAGAAAGAGGCAGAAAGGGGAGACCAAGAGAAAGACAGAAACAGACAAAAGATGGAGATAGATAGATGGAGAGACAGAGGTATAGAAAGAGGCAAAGACAGAGACGGAAAGAAAAATAGAGACAGAGAGGAAGGGAAGGAGACAGAGAGACAGATAGAAAGGCAGAGCCAGAAAGAAAGAAGAAGACAGAGATAAAAAAACAGAGAAAGGGAAATATAAAAATAGGTGGGAAAGAAGGAGAGATAAAGAGAAAGCAATAGAGGGATGGAGACAGAAAAAGATAATGACAAAAAGAAATAGGGATAAAAAAGATACAGAGAGACCGATGTAAATAAAGGAAAAGAGAAATATGGAGAGAAAGAGACAGAGACAGAAAGAAACAGAGGAAGAGAGAGAGAGAGAGAGAGAGAGAGAGAGAGAGAGAGAGAGAGAGAGAGAGAGAGAGAGAGAAACAGGGGAGGAGGGAGGGAGAGAGAGAGAAGGATGGAGAGAGAGAGGAAAGAGATATAGAGAGGGTTTTATGGTCTTATAAGATAGAGAGAAAAAGGAGAGACAGAATGAAAAAGACAGAGATAGGGTTACATTGAGACAGAAAGAGAAAGAGAAGCATAGGGATAGTGACAGAAAGTCGCAATGGAGGAGGAGCTGACCCCTTTCCCCAGCCCTATCCTGGAATAGGCTGCTTTGTCCCAGGAGGTGTCTGGGAGGAGGCAGGGTGGTGATGTGTTAGGGATGCTATAGAGGGCACTCCTGTCCGGGGGGGGGGAACATTGGACTAGATTGTCCCCAAAGCCCCGCTAACTTCAAGGATCCATGATTTGTGGATCCCAGAAAGACAATGGAGGTGAGGCAGAGAGAGAAGGAGGAGAAAGAAGAGAAGGAGGAAGTAAAGAAGAGAAGGGGAAGGAGGAAGAGAGGGAGGGGGAGGGAGGAGAGAGAGAGATAATGAGAGACAGGAAGGAAAATGAAGAGAAAAACAGAGAGAGACATAGGTGGAGACAGGAAATAGACAAAGCAGGTTCTCTGATCCTAGGGCTTTCATAGGTGGGAAAGAAGGGGGGACCTGTGGAGGAGGCGTGAGAGAGCCATAGACTGAAACGGCCAGCCATTCTGCGTAGGGGCCCTTGTTCCCACCCACCCCTGCCCCATTTCAGAGCCCTTGGTCTCTGCTGGAGCCTCCAATTCCGACTTGCAGTTACTGCCTCCTCCCCCTATCTGTTTGATGGTGCTGAGCAGCCATCATGGTAGATGACCTCGCCTCTCCCCTCCTGGTTCTCCTCCTACCTCCCTGACTGCTCCTTCTTGGTCTCCTTTCACGGCTGCTCTTCCTCACATGCGTTAAAGGAAGGTTCAAACACCGGGACTCAGCCCAGGGCCCTTCATCTTTTCTCTATTTGCACGTTGTTTGGTGATCTCACTTGCCACTGTGGCTTCGGTGATCACCTGTGTGCAGAGGGCTCCCAAACCTGTGGCACCCCTCGCACTCTCTCCCCAGAACTCGAGCCCTGTATTTCCACCTGCCTCTGACCTCTTCTCCTGCATGGCTCCCAGGTCCCTAGAGCTCGGCCGGTCAGGGATTCATCATCCTCTGCCCTGGCCTCCGCTCCTGACTCTTCTCTCTCTTTCAGAGGCCCCCACGCCTTTTACGGTCTGGCTGCAGCCCGGCTTCCCAGCCTCACATCACCCTTCATGGACTCTCCACTTAGAACATTACAGACTATCGAGTCACAAAGGGACCTGAGAGGCCATCTCCTTCAATCCACTCATTTTGCAGAGCAGGAAACTGAGGCCCAGGGAGTGAGGTGACCTGTCTAAAGACACGTCCTGAGACTCCACACCTATTGTGGTTTGGTCATTTCACTTATGTCTGACTCTGAGATACTGGAGTGATTTGCCATTTCTTCCTCCAGCTCATTTTACAGGGGAGGAACTGAGACAAAGTGGGTTAAGTGACTTGCTCAGGGTCACACAGCTAGTAAGTGTCTAAGGCCAGATCTGAACTCAGGCCTTCGTGACTCCAGGCCTGCCTCTCCTTTTACTTCCAGAGGTAGAACATTTTGCAGAGCTAGGATGACCAAGCTGGAGACTCTCTATCTTCTTTCTCATTCTGCCCTTTCCCTCCTCCACACCTTTGCTCATGCTGTCCCCTATGCCTAGAGCTCCTACTCCCCATCTGTACTGATTGGAAACCCTTCTTCTTCTGAGGGCCAGCTGGGATGCCACCCCTTCCATGAGGTCTTCCTTGACTTGCTCCTTCTGCATTCCAGGTGAAAACATTTTCTCTCTCCTCAAATTTCTCTGAGCACTTTGATTGGACCTCTCCTCTGTCTTTATCTCCTATTCTCATTATTTATGGGTTTGTACTCTGCCCTCTACCTCTCCCCCATATTGTAAGCCTCTGGAGGGCAGGATCTATGTCATGGACACCTTGGGTTGGAATCCCTGGGGTAGAAACCTTTATTAGGAAGCTTTTCCTCACGCTGAGCCAAACCCAGCCCTTCCCCCATTGCTCCCAGCTCTGCCTGGGGTCGGGGGGTCGGGGGGCACCAAAAAGGACAAGGCCGTTCTCTCTTCTTCATGACAGGCCTCCGAATGCTGGAAAACGGTCATCAGCTCCAAGCCCCCACCCACCCCCGAGTCTTCTTTTCTCCTTATTAAACAGGGTCTGTGCCTTCAGCCACACTTGGCACGGAATGCAAGAGCAGGAACAGAAAGGAGAGCATGGAAAAGAGAGAAGGGGAGAGGACAGAGAGGGTGGGAGCTGGAGAGAAGTGGAGAAGAGCAGGGAGAGGGGAGAAGAAGGGCAGAGGGAGAGAGAAGGGGAGACGAGAAAGGAGAGAAGACGAAGGGAGCAAAGAAAAAGAGGGGCGAGGGTAAGGAAGAGATGGGGAGAAGAAGAAGGGAGGGGGTAGAGCCGAGGTAGAGGAAGCTGAGGGGAAGGGGGTGAGGTGTTCCTACCAGCTCCAGTAGCCGTGGGGGTCTGGTACAGATTGCATGGTAAGCATTTCCTGACGAGTTCATCGAAACACAGGGGAGGACATTGCACGTTGGACCCTCCAGATCCTCGCCCCACCATCCTTGACTGCTGGCCTGCAGCTGCTGCTACCCAGCTGCCCAGGAGGCTTTTGAAGGCGAGCTCTCTGGGACCCCAGGAAGGAGGGGGCGGGTTTGGGGGCAGCTTTCCTCTCCCTGGCCGGCTCTGCGCTTCAGAAGTCACCGTGCACCTCCCCAGTCCCCATCCCAGCAAGAACATACCTGGGGCCCAGGGGCCCTGACTGGCTGGCTAATCCCATACCTTCCTCAAGTCTCTGACTGTGTGGCATCCCTGCCTGCCTCTCACAGTGCCAGCTTGCTTAGTGGTCACACTCTGAGGCATCCTGCTCTATTCCCAGGGGCCCCTCACAATGGAGCCTAGCCTGCAGGGGCACCTCCAAGTGAACAAGCTACTTTGGTGGTGAGTGAGCTCCCCGTCGGTGCAGGTGTTCAAGCATCATTTAGAAGGGTGAGCAGTTGGACCTGCTGATCAATGAGAGATTTTTATGGAGAGAATCTCATCTCGGAGTGTCTGATCATCTAACCCCAAATAAGAACAAGGTAGGCAGCATAGATCCAGTGAGGCAGAAAGGGAGACAGAGAGAAAAATGTAAAAAGAGGCTGAGAAAGAAACCCAGGATCAGAGACTGACCCAGGCGGAAATGGGAAGAAAAAGAGAAACGAAGGTTTTTTAGTCCTGGAGATGTCTTGGCCAGAGACAGGGACCGTCAGAGTAGAGATAGAGACAGAGGCAGGGCAAAACACAGAAATGGGCAGACAGGAGCAGAAAGGCAGAGACAGGGAAAGAAGCAGAAATAGAGACAGAGACATGAAGAGAAACGGCAGAGATAAGGAACAGGCAGAGATAGAGACAGACAGGAACAGAGAAAGAAACAGAGACTGAGATGATTTAGCTGACCTCCTCTGCTTCTCCTCCCAGCTGGCCTGGCCTCCCCACCCCCCAGCCACACCTGGGTCTCTGTTTGCCCCCCTCCATCCCCCTCCAGCTACGGTGTTACCCAATCTCCTTCCTTTGTGACAGAGACTTGTGGTCTACCCTGGCTCTTCTCCCTCAGCCCCCTCCACTGATTACATCCTCCTTTGACATCAGCTCTCCAAGCAAAGAATCCTTTTCTGGGTCCTTGCCTCCTGGACCTTTCTGCAGCTTTCAACAGTTGACCATGCCCTAAATGCAGGGGTGACTAAAAGCCCAACCAAGCCCCCATCTCAGGGGGGGGGGGATCTGGGTTCTCTGCCTTTGGCTTCAGAGATGCCCCTTTCTCCTGGCTAACCTCCTACCCCCCTGACTGTTTTTTTTTTCTGTCTCTCTCCCTGGCTCCTCATCACAGGATCAGAAGGGAGATTCTCTGGCTGGCCCCACCCTACATGTGGGTGTCCCCCCAGGTTCTGGCCTCAGCCAGAGGCTCTCCTTTACTCCCACAGCAACAAGGCCATCTCCAAAGCTTGCCTAAATCTCTGCCTCTGACCCTCTAGTGAGCTCTCCCAGGAACTCAGTCTGGAATAATAAAAAGAATGTGCATTTCCATAGGCTTTCAAGTTTGCAAAGTGATTTACAAAAATTATCTCTTTGGAGCCTGACCACAACCCTGGAAGGGAGGGAGGAACTGTTATTATTCCCATTTGGGGATGTGGGTATGCCCTCCACAATGCAGAACGCAGCCCAGACCTGACTGTCCATTGTGTCCTCCTAAGAAGTCAGTGCAGGGGGGCCTTCCAGTGTGCTGGGGCCCTCCGCAGGGCTATGTGAATCAGATGTCATCACCTCCTATCCCCCAGCCCAGTCCAGCTGTAGAGTGGGCACAATAAAATACGTGTTGCTGCAATTACTTTTATTAAGCCTGGGCCCCTCTTCCAGGAGGACAAGCTGTCCCCCATGTTGCCCCCCTCCCCTTTCCTTCTCTGACTCCCCTGGGAGCCTCCCCACCTCTTTTCTTGCTCACAGGGCCATGACACAGGAAGGTGTGTAGGCGTCCTGTCCCTGAGTGGGTGGGTTTGAGTCAGTGGGGTGGGTGTAGCTGTGAGGGGGGAGGGCCTGGAGGTGATTAAGGAGGTGATTGAGGAGAGAGGAGTCCAGAGGATGTGGCTGGAGGGGATGGAAGCCGAGTATGGGCTGCTCGCTCCTCTCCGGCAGCCCCTGTAAGGAGGGTGAGAGAATCCTTCTCCCTGTTTGACAGGGGGAAAACTGAGGCCCTGGGCAGTCGGTAACTACTACAAGGTTGTCTACAGAGCTAGAAGTTAGAGAATGCTTTATGGTCTTCAAAGCACTTTACATAGATGATCTTTGATTTTCACCACAGCCGGCGGCAGCTAGGTGGCGCAGTGGAGAAAGCACTGGCCATGAAGTCAGGAGGACCTGAGACACCTGACACTTACTAGTTGTGTGACCCTGGGCAAGTCACTTAACCCCAATTGCCTTTAAAAAAAAAAAAGATTTTCACCACAGCCCTTCGAGGTGGGAAGGTGCTGCTATTGCCCTCATTTCACAGATAAGGAAACCGAGACAGGCAGCAGTAAATGACTTGTCCAGAGTCACACAGCTCATAAGGGTCCGAAACAGGACTTCATGACTCCAAATCCAAATGTCCAAACACCATCCCCCCCAGCTGAAGTTCAAGCCAGGAGCAAAGCACAAAGTCAGGTCTTCATCTTTTAAGGGAGTGGCCGTCAAAGCCCTGCCCAGAACTCTCCAGGGCAATGGGCTCCTGGATGGAGAGCTGGGAGACCTCGTGTGTAAAGAAATCAGTGCGTGAGACCCAGATGTAATTTAAAGTGTGGGTTTATTAGCGCACGGCTGCAAGGGATATGCACACCCAAATCAAGCAGCCCTGATCAGGGGTCGAGCTAGGGTTTATATGGAAAAGAGCATGGAAAAGAAATGTCAGGAACACGGATGAGGTAACCCAAAGGTGCAGGTGTCTTTGGGGGCTGTGGATGGGAAAGTACAGGGAGTATACCGGACAGGGAGGGGGATGGATCTTTGGAGTCTGGAGGAGAAAGTCCTTGGGCTGGCAAGGCACCCCTCTCCTTCTGTCTTGATGAGAGAATGCTCTGCAACAAGGGAAGCTTTCTCACAACACAGGAACTCACTGAGGAATTGGGAGGCTTCCAGAGACGTGATCTGAGGGCTGGGGCCTGAGCAGCCCAGCTCTGTGTAGCTGTACCAGGGAGAGAGATAAGGGTCGTGCTGAGGCCCGTGCATGAATAACGGCTAGGCACAGCGTCCTTGGGCTGAGGAGTGGTTGTCAGAGACAGTGTTTCTGAGACTCGGGAGAAATTGGGGCCCAAGTACAAGCACAAGCATCCAAGCACCCCATCATTACAGGTCAGAGATCACACAAACCAGACGGTGTCCTGGTCTCTGGTAAAATAATTATCTAAAGCAATTATATTGCAAGCTTTCTTATCCATTTGTGGAGGTACAGGCTATGCTGAGCTATGCAAGAGTACATTTCACTATTGTTTAGATTTAGGAGAAAAGAGGTCTGGGGCAAGATTAAGCAGTAATTTCTGCTTTCCATGACTTAAAGGGCCCTACTACCTAAATAGTAAAATAATGTTCTGCATTACACTAGGGGCTTATCTGGTCCAACCCCCTTGTTTACAGATGAGGAAACTGAGGTCTGAGGAGGGGAAGGGATTTGCCCGAAGCCATGAAGGTGATAAATGGAAGAGCCAAGATTTGAACTCAAGTTCTTTGACTCCAAAACCAGCCTCATGTCCCCTGTGCCAGATGTCCAGTCCCTTCGCCATGCAGATGAAGCACCAGAGAGGTTAGGGGGTTTGTC